ATGAAAAATTTAAGAAATCACAAGAATGGAATATGCAGGAATTGTGTGACACCATAAAAAGATCAAGCTTATGAATCATAGGCATACAGGAAGGAGAAGAATCTCAGGATAATGGTATGGACCAGATCTTCAACAGTACTGTAGAAGAAAATTTCACCAAATTAAATAAAGACATGCCATACAAATACAAGAAGCATATAGAACATCAAATAGACAGGGACAGAAAAGAAACTCTCCATGGCACATTATAGTAAAAATATTAAATGTTCAGAACAAGGAGACAATGCTGAAAGCTGCAAAAGAAAAACAACAAGTCACATATAAAGGAAAACTTATCAGGATTATGGCTGACTTTCAGTGCAAAATATGAAAACCAGAAGAGACTGGACCAAAGTATTCCCAGTCCTAAATGACCACAGATGCCAACCCAGATTACTTTACCCAGCCAAAATGTCTATCATAGTTGAAGGGGAAAGAAGAATCTTCCATGACATAAAGAGGATGAAAGAATTCATGTCCACAAAATCAGCCCTTCAGAGAATTCTTGAAGCAATACAAAGAGCTGAAGAAAGGAACAACTATATACAAGGAGCGAAGGAAAGAAATTCAATGAAGGTATAAATGTGGAAACGCACAGGTATATCAAGAAGGTGAACAGAAATAAAATGACAGGATTCAATATACATCTTTCATTAATAACTTTAAATATCAATGGACTGAACTCCCCAGACAAAAGATACAGACTAGTTGAATGGATTAAGAAACAAAACCCATCCTTTTGTTATCTGTAAGAAACTCATCTCACTTTCAAGGACAGGCACTACCTTAAGGTGAAAGGATGGAATAAAATATACCAAGCGAATCATATGAAGAAAAAACCAGGCATTGCAATTCTAATATCTGACAAAATAGACTTTAAACTAAAACTAATCAGAAGAGACAAAGGTGGCCACTTCATGCTGATCAAAGGAACACTAAACCAAGAAGATATTACAAACATGAACATGTATTCACCAAACTCTGGTGCAACCAACTTCATAAAAACAACTCTACAGGACTTTAAGACCCAGATTAATCCCAACTCATTAGTAGTAGGGGACTTCAATACCCTACTGTCTCCATTAGATAGCTCAACAGTGCAGAGAGTTAACATAGAGATATCTGAATTAAACAATAGCATATATCAAATGGACTTAACAGACATCTACTGAGTATTCCACCCAAACACCAAAGGACAAACTTTCTACTCAGTACCCCATGTAACCTTCTCCAAAATCAACCATATACTGGGACACAAAACAAACCTCAACAAATACAAAAAGATTGAACTAATTCCATGCATTCTATCAGACCACGATGCAATAAAGCTTACAATCAATACCAGAAGAAGCCCTAATCACCACATGAACACATGGAGATTAAACAACACAGTCCTGAATGATGAATGGGTCAAAAGAGAAATTAAGAAAGAAATAAAAGTATTCCTGGAAATAAATAAAAAGGACAATACAACACAACAAAACCTCTGGGACATGCTGAAAGCAGTCCTTAGAGGGAAGTTTATAGCTCTAAGTGCCTACATCAAAAAACCGGAAAGAACACGAATAAACGACTTAACA